CGTTTTGGTCCCTATGATTAAAGGCAGTAGATGAAGACGAAGGGACACTGCGACATTTTTCCTTTAGATGATACAGCAGCGCATTGAGCAATAAATAAGCAACATTTTAGAGGTAAAAATATAAATTTTAAATTAATTTTACATTAGAATACATATGAAAATAACAGTTTTCGAGTTTACATTCAAGGCCAAGCTGAAAATAACAAATTAGTATAGTTTCATGACTTCTTAAATTGGCGATTTAAAACCATTTAAATACAATTTCATCGCATGGATTTTATCTATAAGCTTAGTTATGCTAGTGCGTAAAATAAGACGGAATATTTAAATAACTTAAGGTTTTAACGAGTGTATTGCTTCACCTCGCCTCTAGTTAGCGCATTCTTGCACTACGCCCTATTTCACAGAAAATGGCATTTATATCTAGAAGTGTGTATTAAATACATTTCCTTTAATATGTTTGGGAATGAAATAGTGATGTAAATACCTGTATTACAACAGCATTTTTCATCTTTTCTAAATCTTTTGGATAGGAGTTAATATTCTGTTGTTCGTATACATCGTATTTGTCATTTTTTGACAATTCATCTTTCCCATTTCCTTTTGCTTTAACCATAGCATTGCTTTCCTTCTTTCGGTTCTTAAATGGGGAAGCTACTCCGGCATCTAATCTCTCATTTTTTAGAATTTCACTGTCCACAAGGCCGGCCGTCGTATGTACAGCCAAAGTTTTCACTATTTTGTCTTCCGTCTTATTCAGGAGCCCACAATGGATAGGGACTGTTATTAATTCTTCTATAGGTTTTTCCAGAGGCAATGGAGGAGATACCGCAGATCCTGATTTTAAATGACCGTTGCTAGTAATTGCTTCACTTAAAACTGATTGCCTCAATCGACCTACTTCTTCTTTAGCTGAATTTAATTGACCTGCAGCAATAGTTACTGTCGCTGGTAAGGAAGTGGAGTTTGATGAAATTTCTATATCTATGAAAGAATTTTCTGCCTGAACAGCTGCAGACGTCGTCGAAACGGGTTGCTTTTCCTGTTTATAAGACATAATCTTTTCATGCTCTTGGCGCAGACGCTCAAGCTCACTGCGTTGATTTGCTAGCTCGTCGCGAGCAGCTTGCAGCGCTTGATTTTTAACATCTACTTCGCTCTGGATAGCAATGTTTTCAGACATCAAATGCCGATACTCCTCAGTGGCCTTGCTCTGTGTCTAAAAAAGTAAAAATTAGAAAGCAAAATAAAAGTCAAACAAATAAACAAATAGTGATTATATATATATATATATATATATCAGAAAGGGATTTTCTGAGCCTATTATTGGTTCTAATTAGTTCGTGTGGTCTGTTAATGCTTTCTCGAGCCTAGTTTTAACTAAGCCACACGATAACTGAGCAAGTTCTATAGTGGTGGACGTCGGTAGATTAAAACGTCTACTGAGTAAACAATATCTAGGAACAACGCTATGAGAAATACATATTTTAAAAACTCGAATTCTATCAAAAACTGTTTGACCTCGTTTTCGCAACTTGGTCATATTTGTAGGAAGACCAAGAAGAAAGCATCTAGTCCGGAGTCTATAGTATGCATGATAATTTCCAGATTCCCAGACGTTTCGCCGGGATCATGAGTGAGTCTTTCCACTTTTAGCACCACACTACGTCTCGGCAAAAAGACAAGTAAAGCCGATCCTTTGACTAATTTTCTGCCAAACAATTGGGCTATCTCTCCTTTTGCCCTGGGCCATTCGCAAAACCTATATCCTAGTACCACCCCTTCACTATCAAAATTTTTTACTTTCTTATTTAAATGAGGTATGGCGTGTCTTCACGCTGGGTTTCTAACCCGCCACCGTGCAATCCTCCTCCAATAGGTCTTATCAGAGTCTCCCTCTTGCCCCGTTGGATCTGCCTCCTACGCTCCTGGTTCAGGTATTTCACTCGATCCCTGTCACCCTATCTCTACTACTCGAAGCACTATTTCCCACACTGTCTTAAGCCTTTGATGGCACGCATACTTCCGCAACGTAGTGTAGGCCCATACATTCAACCTAATCAAAACATGTAGAACCACGACATTAGTAGTTGGAATACCAGAGGCTAAGGTATAGCAGATGATTGACTTGGCACTATGGCTAGAAGCACGATAGATTCGGGGAAGCTAGAGCTAGCTGGCTAACACTAGACGTGTTTGATTATAGACATGGTCCATCAAGCAAAGGCTTGACCATGAGAATTACTCATGCTCTTTGGCCCCAACTTAATCTCCCATCCAGATTGACAATCCTTATTTTTAGAGGTCATCGGGGTGGGAGTAGGTATGCCATCAAAGGGTTGAGACAGTGTGGGAAATAACGCTTCGAGTAGTAGAAATAGGGTGGAAGGGGCCGAGTGAAATAGCTCAACCAGGAACGTAGGAGGCGGATCCTACGGAGCAAGAGAGAGACTCTGATAAGACCTATGGGATGATGATTGCAGGGTGAGGGGATGAGAAAGCTAGCACGGGGTTTGGAGAGTCCTTATGGAATCAACTAAAAAAGGCCACACCATACATCATTTAAATAAGTAATTAAGAAATTGTGATAGTGAAGGGGTGATAATAGAATATAGGATTGGAGAATAGCTTAGGGCAGAAGGAGAGATACCAAACTGTTTAGCCGACAATTGGTCAAAGGATCAGTTTCACTTGTCTCTTTGACGAGTGGTAATGTAGTGCTAAGAGAGACAAGGCTCACTGACGATGTCGACTACGATGCTGGCAAAACGTCTCAATCACGTCCACCGTCCGACCATGGAAATTATCATGTATACCATGGACTGCAGTCAAGGTGCGTTTCTCTAGGTCTTCCTGCCAATATGATAAAGTTGCGAAAACAAGGTCAAACAACTTTTATACAACAAAAGGAGACCGCAGCCATACAAAAGTCAACATCATCTGGGTCTTCATACCTTAGATTAAACTATAGAACTCGGTTATAGTTTAGTGAGATGACAATTGACAAGAATTCGAACGGTACTTACAGTGTACATTTAAAGAGTAACTGAGTTTCGATGTATCTCTTGAGATAGCATTGTTGGGGAGACTTTCATTTCGTATGCAAGTTCATGAAAAAGATATTATTAGGTCGATCTCACTGGAAAATGACGGCTGAATCCCTTCGTAATGCAACTTTTTGACTTTTATACGATTCTCAGGTAGAAAATTGAGTAGGAACTACTTATGCTTGGTCGCTAGATTGAAGGAGAGAGAGGGTAATAAGCCGTCATTGAAAAGAAGGCGACTCAGTTGGAATGTTAAGTGATGGTTCTAACTTCACTCGCACTCGTGTAACACGTTAGGTGTAGCTCAAATCCGAACCCCAATCATTCCTTTCCTTGGCTAATAAAATATTCATGACTCTAGAATGATAAATTAGGACAAGTGGTTTCGTAACATGACTTTCACGCTTACAAGATTATATCTCATTATCGCAACCATTCTCGCTTACGGACATATGCAGTCTCGGTCAGGGCTTGTTCTTGGGTCATTAAACCTTAAGGACTAGAGAATGAAATTAGTCTTTTGATCACTGATTTAGGGGCAGTATTGCGTAATGACATCAACACACAAACACACACAGACACAGACACTCGAACAAAAGTAGCATGACCAATATGAAAAATAAGTTACCAAATCATTCTATATGTATCTGGGCTTCTTAATTTTATTTTGCTTAATTGAGTATATATAGTAGGTAAGATAAAGCCTGATAGTCTTCGTACCATAGTGTTAACTTCAGACTTAAAAAATGAGTTCCAGCTCTGATGATGTCCATCATATGATGAATAAGAGCTCAGCCCGTTTTCACCCGAAACGAGGGAGGAGGTCTTGTGGACTGTGTCAAACTTAACATCGTATAGAAGTCAAATGGCTGCAGTGCAACGGAATTCAGCCTTCCTCTTATATGAGACCGACCTAAGAATCTATTCTTTATGCACTTTCATACGAAATGAAAGTCCCCCAACAATGCTATCTCAGAAAATTAATCGAAATCCAGTTACTATTCTTATTTACAATAATAAAAATCATGTTCTAAGTATATAAAGATGCGCACCCTTTTGCTTACTCTTTTATTGAGGCTTTTACCATAAAATAGAAATAAATGAAGCAAAAACTTGTAAAATCTTTTGTTATACTATCTAACGCTACTAGTCGATATAACAGCATTGCACTTCTTCCAAGGTATCTCATATGCTTGAAAATATAAGCAAAAATATTCAATAGGATATGCAAAAGCTTTGGAAGAAATCAGAGTAAACTTCATCACTAATCTAGGAAATAAAAAAGCTGGCAATTTAACGAATAGTAGATAAATTTAAAAGTAATTCTCGTCTCCTGAAATTAAAGTGTGAAATTACAAATAGGTGCTTCAGAGATATGTTAAAATTGTTGTACCCAAAATACAATGTATCATACTAAAATAAAGTACTCTCCTCATAATATATTTATTTCAACTAAAAATACACTTTAGATATATTTCGAGTCAATTTGTGTGATTTCCACAAGTTCTGCATAGACTATTTACTCATCTACTTCTTGCCTGCATATACTAAACTAGATTTAACCTGCAGTCATTACTTTAAAAAAAGAATATTAAGTAACATTTTTTAGATACTCACTAGGATTTAACTGAAATAAATAGTGATTAAAAATAGTGCTAGATACATTTTGCATAAAAGTCAACCCAAGTATACATTGCTATCAATCGGAAAAGCACATCGATTAAGAATGTTATAACAAAGGCTAATAAGCGCTGGCGCATTGCTTTGCTTTGAGATAGTTGGGATAGCAAAATGAATGTGGATCTCTTACTGATCACTTTATTCTAGAACCTAATAGTTAATTCACTTTAATACATTATTTATGCTAAAATACCATACATATGCATAGTTTTGGACTAAATTAAAAAGTTTTGCGTTATTTAGTAACCGGTAACGAGCATTCTTTGTCATTACTGGCTAGATATATCAAAATAATTTATTTTTACCAGGCAAAAATTATAATTTTATGTTGAAAGTTGAGATAGCCAAAAATCACAAAACTGCCATGAGAAGATAAATTTACTTTGATGCTTTTTTGTGATGAAAATGAAGTTGCATCTTAAACGGATTCCAAAGGCGCAAACCTATTTTGCTATATATTTTGTTTATCCAAATATCTAAAAAAATTATATTTTAAGTCGGAAAAGAGCTAATTATAAATTTATAAGCCGTTTTTTTCACTAAATCATTTTTATGTAATACTGCTTGCTCCAGATTGGACATCTTGTGAAACGTATTATTGTTGGTACAAAATAATAGATAAATTATATTGGATTTACGTTTAATAAATTAAATCCAAATAAAGCCTTCTTGGTGTAGATGATGCTAGTCGATAATTCTAAGAAACTATGCGAATAAACATGCAAAATTTCCTTTATTCTATAGCAATGAATATTCTTAAAATAGGATAACATATCAAAAAAATTAATTTTTGCATGGCAAAATTAGGGAAAAATTTATCACAACTTAATGCAATCTTTTAGATTTGCTTTTAAATAGCTGATTAAAAAAATTAACGAAAGAACTTAAAGGAAGTAGAAAAACAAAAAATGTAATTGAAGTTATAATTGAATAATTTAGAAATCATGGGCAGTTTCTGTAGGCTAGATGAGGAGGAAATTGAATCAGGTGGTAGCTTATTTTATTTGTATATCCCAGAGGATATCTATATTAATTTGGATCCAGTCTACTTTAAATTTTGCCCTAATATTAAATTCCTTAACAAAACCTTATATTTTTATATTTCCGAAGTCATTTAGAATCACAATTTAAAGAATCTTGAACCTTTTTGTCTATTGCGATTTTCACTTCCCTCAGTAAGAATTTATAAATTCAACATTAAATTCTGTCCCTTGACTTTAATTATTGCCTTTGGCTTTGATGTTAACTTCTAATTAGAAGGGCATATCCGCTTCTTTTATTAGAAGTACATTTCTGAAATGCTCACCAACACCCAGGTATCATGAAATAATCTCTTGTCTATAAAATCGATTTCCTAGACCCTTTTGTTTTTAGGATAACCCCGTAGTATTGTGAACGAGGGCAAACGTTTATTATTCTACTTATTTACACTAGATCCGTAGCTAAAATAACTAACTAATTTAAAACTTAACTTTTATATGAGCAACATGATCATCCGAAGCCTACGTTTAACGGATGCGGAATTCCGAGACAAGGAGTTGGGCAAATTGACTAGGATATCCCTCGGCAACGGCTACCCAGGCGAAGTAATACAAAGAAACATAGGGACCGTGAAAAGCCGATGACAGAACGGGGACTACGAAAGAACAGTAAGGACGGAGAAGGATTCGCAAAAGTGGGTATGCCTACCTTCCTGTGAACTAACTCAAAAACCACAGCCAATAATAAGGAAATGGAATATTAGAGTGGTCATGAAGGAAAAATAATACTATTCAAAAGTTGACGGACGCAACATGAAATAGTGGACAAAGTGGATTGTTTAAGAGTTTAGTGCTTGTCATGCAGCGCCTACGAACATAAATATATTGACGAAACAGGGAGAAAAATTAGCATACGAATCAAGGGCTTTGCATGAAACTGGATACCAAAAGATCAAAATTAATGGAACACAAAGCACAAACTGGACACGAGATCAGTTGGGAAGCAACAGAAAGAAGTGCCTCATACAGTGAAAACACAAGGAAGCGGAAGATTAGAGAGACCATTGACATCCTTAGGGAGAAAAATCGAATGAAGGAGGGCAGAGTTAGCGATTACTTTGCCTACTGCTAAAGCAAACTCGTAGTAAATAATAACACAACAGTACAAGCAAAATGCAGACGCATGGATCAATGAACTATCGCTAACCAGAGGAAAAGGGATTGCGATGAGAAATTACAAAGATTAAGCGAAGAAGCTATCACTGAGTCATGCCTGTTCGGAGGAATTAGTATAAATTCGGTGGCTTGGCAGTCAGGGAACTAGACCGACGGATAAGCACAACCGTCACAGAAATTCGGCTTTATGGCCAAAATGTACTAGAAGTCTACTTGAGATGCCGCATGCGACCAAAGATAGGAGTCCACAGTTTGCTCAGGTTACACGGGCTTACTCAAGGAGACGACCGGTGAAGACAATGCCTGATGTCTACAATCATGGGAATCAGAGTCTAGACGCTCTGTTCGATGAGGCAGCAGTGTACGTGCTTCTAAGGCCTTTAGAAATAGCGCCTGGAGTAAAACGCACACTGGGACTGAAACCGAGTGAAATCGGTCAACCAGAAAGATAAGTAGGACCATGAGGAAGATCCGCATTGTAGGCCCGAGTCGGATTGGCCAATTAAAAGAGAGGTCGAAGTGCATAGAAGGTGTGATGAGGCCACACTAAATTTGTCAAACTTGGCACACATTATGACGAGTGGGATGTAAACAAGTCGAAAAGTTGTGATAGGGCGGGAGCTGGTTAAGAGGTTAGGGAGTGGATGGATGGGCCAGGACAGAAATAGGAGTGATGGATAACAGTTTCGGAAGAACCGTGTTCGAGGGATTGACTTCACTTGTCTCTGACGAGTTTGCAGCTTGGTGCGGAGAATGGCAAGACTCATTGATGAGTTCTACTACGATGCAGGCAAAAGGTCTGAGAATGAACCAAGTCCACGTTCTGAGGCAGGAAATTATGATAATTACTATTTTAAACGAATTTGAACAGGATGCGTTCAGCTAAATCACTTTGGCAACAAGACCAAGTTGCGAAAACGAGATTAACCCACTTATAGAAATAACTGCTTGCTCTTCAGAATGTTTAATTCATTACATTTTATAGAAAATCAATTATTATATCGTTATTATAAATGAGCTATAAGCATTTGAAGATATTTACTATTTCAATGTAAAACATCACTAGCTTTTCTTGGGATAGTATCATAGCATTTTCTAAAGAAATATGGCTGCTTTCTAGGCGAACTTGATTTACTATATAATTGGTAAGACCTCGTTTTCGCAAATTGGTTGTATGGTCAAGAAGACAGCCAAATTTTGATGTTTTAATATGAATGGCATCCTCTACTCCAACCGATGATGGGGATAAGAAAATGAACTTATCCTCAGTCCCTCTTGATTCCAAAGCAATTGCTCTGCTGAAGAAGTGGCTAAATCCTTTTCCAAGTGTAAAAGGTACCGTTTTAGAAGATATTACTGTGGAGGTTGTTAATAACTCTGAGAAATACCTTGGAGATGCCGAACAGGATATGGAAATAGAAATAATCCCGACAATCCTGGTACATCGGAAGC